TTATATAACCCTAAGCCCTAAACCCCTACACCTTATCCTTGGTGGCTAAGCAAAACTGTCAGCAAATGATTTACTGCAGGGCTCTGGAGTACCATGCTTGAATACCTTTTTTTGTTTTGGGGGACCTGTCCCTTAAAGGAACCATTATGAAATAAAGTCTATGTGGTTTGCCCTGCCCCTTTTTGTTTCAATATCCAGTATGGGCAGTGCTAAGGGCTGAGGGCTGAGTTTTTTTCAAGAAGGGTTTGCGATTGGCTGATAGCCCCTTTCTTGAATATGTTCTGCTAGTCTTGACTACTTTCAAAAATCCACATTACTGTTGATGAATTAAATCCTGCATTACCTTAAGGACCCTGAACTATGGGAGTTATGGGATATGCCTTATTACGGGTAATGCAGGATTTATATCATCAAGCGTAAGGCCCCTGTGTGTTCGGGTTTAGGGTTGCTTCATGTGCTACGGGTTCGGGGTCTTGGGGTTTTTAACTTCACAGGATGGACCCTGAACCCTCAACCGGGCCCTTGCACAGGCCCAAAGAGCCAGGCATGCAAAGATCTGTCCGTCGTGGTAGCAGGAGTATGAGTTGGGGTTCGGGGCTGCAGGTTTTAGGTCTTTAGGGCTTCAGAGCTTCGCTTTTTGTTCGGGTTAGGGTTTACCTGTAGCCGAAAAGACCTACCTAAACCCTAAACCCGCATACCCTTTGGGCTGACATGACGACTACCACATCCTGCTGCGGATGGTGCAGGAGCAATGCCAGGAGCTGGATGGAGTTCACTGTCTTCGCTGCTCTCCTTGTGGTCGCCGTGTACACCCGTTATCCTGCATGCATTTGCTGGGGTGACCTTCTCCTGCTGGCCTCCGTGTTTGCTGTCGATGACGACTTCTACCTCCTCCACATCCACTACGACTACTCCTCGTGGCATCAACAACCCAGAGGACATCGTCCGTGATGCAGTGGGAAGAGAGCTCATCCAGGGTAACCTCGCAGACATTCAAGACACCCTTCGTCGCCTTTTGGATAGGCAGCGAGCTCTCCGTCATTGTGTGTTGCGCTGGAGGAAGCGGTGTCCTACCTCAATGTGCCCAGATCGGCGACAGCTTACAACTCAGCAACCATGGAAGCCAACATTTGGGGTGTAGTTGCACAGGAAGCAGGACATGGCAGTGGTCTTACTCCTACCGAACACAACAATGTGGTCATGGCACCGGCTGTTCTTCTTGATCCGGGCTTTCCTGATGGAGAAGGTATCCGTCGTGCTCTACCTGGATACCCACTTCCTCGACTCTGTGCTATGAGACGACGTGCTTGGCAACTACATGTCAGTAGACTGGTAGCCAGCGGTCAACTGGAGGGTGGACCGGAGGAACCTTTGACGGACAGCAATGCCAGTGAAGTCGACCTCTACCTCATCCAAACGGATATGACGGTGCCGGTGCCGAACCATCCTGTTGGTATGGAGCTACCGGAGCAACCATATCATCGACGAGTTCAGTTTGGGGTCGCGAGCAGAAGGCGCTTTCAGAAACAACGTCCGGCTCCACGTCTCTTCCCTCTTGACGATGTTGACAATGGGGCTGACAGCGAGGATGTGAACGTCGGTGGTGCAAGTTCTTCTTCGCGGATGGTGACTTCGGTGGGGGTGGTCGTCTCTGGTGCTGATGCTCAGGATCTTGATACAGTGGACAGCGTACTTGGTGGCGATGATGCGGTGAATGAAGGATCCGAACCCTTGTCGTCAAGTTCAGGGGATGAGGCGAACAGTGAGGCCTAGTTATGGTGCATGCTCGACAAAAGAGCGGGCTCGGTCGTGCGGAGAAAGAGCCACTGCACTTTAAAAAAAACCCTAAACCCAAAACCCTAAACCAAAACCCTAAACCCTCTTTTGGATGTCCCTTTGCCTGGCAGATGCCTCCCGTCCTGGCCTGCCTCTTCATCACCGGAGGACCTGGGTCGGCGAGCAAACCTCAAGGTAGTATAGGGGCCTGAATAATTGCCTGCATTATTTTGGCGGGTCCTTTTTATAAGTACAAGATAGTATACCCCCACATTAGTGTGAAAGAATGTGCTGTTCTCGTTACTACGACCACCAACGCCGCCACCATCACCACCAGCTCCACCATTACCACGACAGCAGGGTCGTCCTGAAGACGGCAACGAGCACTGTGAGCCCGACGATTAGCAATTCTAATAAGGATACTTGTGCCACGCGTGGCAAGTTGTTCCAAGCCGTAACCGCCCCGTTTGTATTAATCATCGTACTGCAGGGCAAGGCAAAGTGGATGATTAGTGCCAACCGCTATGACCATGCCATCATCGTCATCATCGTCATCATCATCATCATCATGATCATGGTCATCATCATCATCATGATCATGGTCATCACCATCATCATCATCATCATCATGATCAGCATCATCATCATCACCATCACCACCGCCACCATCATCATCATCATCATCATCATCATCATCGTGAGCATATGCGTCAACAGCATCATCGTCGCCAACATCAGCGTTATCGTCCTCATCGCCATTGTCATCATAATCGTATCATCAACATCATCATACCAATGTAAAGGAGCTGGTATGTGGAGATTGAGCCATAAAAGCTTGAACCCTATCATCCTGCGTTCTCGTCTCCTCGCTTGATTGCAAGATTTCATGCCATGTGCTGCTTGCAAAAGCTGTCTAGCCCTTGACCCTGCGCCCTACATTGACTGTTTAGGGTTTTAGGGGTTAAGCCAAAACCTCGAAACCTTACACCCTTCACTTCATGCCACGAATCTCTACATCATGGAAGAGTCTGGACTGACCAGACCTTTGTGGGTTTGAGTGAGGACTGCTGTGCGTGAACATCCTGGCGCTTTGTGGTATCGGCTGTGCCAGCCAAGGTGCCGAGTGTACCCGGTTTGATGGCTTCGTGGTTCTCTCACAAGTAGAGTGATCATAAGCTTATGTAAGTTTTATCCTATAGTGGTTGAGCGTTTAGAACCAGGGTGTAGGCATGGTTGAGGGCAAGCAGGCACACACCGTACACTTCTTGCGTAATTACATTTATTTTAGCTGACTTGGTGTGACGATATGCTCGGACCACCCGGATTTCCATGCGGGAGCCAAAGTTGAAACCCAGTCTAGGTTTCGTGGTGTAACTGTAGAGCATGCATGAAGTGCAGGAAATCCATCACATTCCGCCGAAGACCCTAAGCCAGTCAGTCTCAGTACTTTTCCCTGGCATTGCTTCAACAACTGCTGTCCAACGCAATGCAATAGCCCCAGTGCCTTTAAGCCCTTATACACTGTAAGCCGCATGTTGACATGACGATGTGAAGGAAGGAACCACTCAACGCTACATCCGACAACCCGCTAAACCCGAAAGCCTTCATTCCGGTAGCTCCAAACCACAAGCCCTGAACCCTCAACCCTGAACCCTCAACCCTGAAGCCCTCAACCCCTAAAGCCCTAAATCCGAATAAAGCCCTAAATCCGAAACCGCGCTCACTGTCAAAGGTGGCTTCGACGTTACTGCCGCCTTCTGCAGCGTCGTGTCTACCTCGGCTTGATGTGTTTCGGTTTCAGGTTGAGGCTGTATTTGGGGTTTCGGATTTCGGGCACCAAAACGAAGCTCGAAATCGTGCCTTGCCTAAGAGTTTCTAATAACGTGGGCCCAGTTTTTGAGAGAAACTTGGGGGCTGAACGTTCCTATGCCCAAGAAAAAGGTCCACACAGATAGTTCCGGCCCTGGCTGCAGACAATCCTAGCCTGCACCAGCATCCTTATGCGTGGAACTGGATCCTGAGAAGCTAAAGCCCCTAAACCCAAAACCCCAAAACCCTAAGCCCTAAACCCTAAATCCCCTAAACCCTAAACCCTAAATCCCTAAATCCCCTAAAACCTAAACCAGTCCTTTCAGGGCCTCCTGCCGATTGCTCTGATCTCCCACATTGTCGCCTTAGTCTTAGCCGCTGATGTGGGTCTGTCGGGGCCTCGTTCGATCGCCGGGGGTTTGGGGTTTAGGGTTTAGGGGTTTAGGGTTTAGGGTCGTTCGATCACCGAGGGGTTTTGGGGGTTTAGGGTTTCGAGGGCACCTTCATGTGGTGAATGGCTTCTGTGTTGGCATTCAGGTTCCACTTTCGGCACGGCCTTTCTAGGTTCCTGAGTAGTAGCTGCAGCCTTTTGCCCGTTTTATGTTGCGGTCCCCTTATTCGTTAAAACCAAATACTCGGAAAAAGGGTACCCTTATTATTCAGGTGCTACTGGGAAACCTAGCCTTTGGAGTTGTCCCCTAAAGCTTAAACCCTAAACCCTAAACCCTAAACCCTAAACCCTAAACCCTAAACCCTAAACCCTTGTCAACCTGTAAGCTCGGCCGAGATCTGAACCCTAAACTAAACCCTAAACCCTAAACCGTTAAACTCCTACTCTAAAGCCCTAAACCCGGAACTTTGAAGCCCCAAGACTCGGAACTCGACAGTGTTGGGCTTGAGGGGTTCGCATTGGGATTTCGGGCCTTTTTGTGGGGTTTTAAGGGCTTGAAAAGTGACGAGGGGGGGCTATAGTCTCAGGGTGTTTCGGGGTTTAGATTTGGGAAGTTCTCTAAATTGGGGTCCCTTTTTAGGTCCCCAATGTAGTACGGCACCCTTTATAAGAAGGACCCGAAGAGGGACCCATATTTTCAGAACTTCCCATTTATGGATTTGTTGATTTCAGCTACCGTTGAGAGCTACGGGCGATCTGACTTTCAGTTTGGAGACAGAATTGGAAGCCTTCCATCCCCAAAAGCCCTATAAACCCTAAACCGAACCCTAAACCCTAAACTGTTCTATTTTGGGGACCTTAAAAATGGGACCCTATTGTAGAGAACTACCCCTAAGCCCTATAGGCCCTAAACCCTAAACCCAAAGCCCGAAAACCCTAAACCCAAAAGCTCTTTTTGTAGTGTCTCCGCCAAAGTCGCGATTGGGATTCATGATTTGGCCCTCCAAGCCTTAGGCTTGAAGCCTTAAGTCAACAGCCTCAGCGAATATATGACATGGTCCCCTTTAGGGTCCGCTTTTTTGAGGGTTCCGTACTTTTTTTGGACCTTTTTACCCTATTTTTCAGAACTACCCCAGAACCCTAAACCCTAAACCCTAAACCCACCCACATAGAGTCTCTTGATTTGGCTCGCTTTTCTTAGGAGTGCCCCGGCTTTCCAGATGACCTCGGTCGGCGCTGTGTGTGCCATCGTGTCGCTGCTCTTCGTGGCTGGGCTTAGGGTTTAGCTTAGGGTTTAGGGTTTAGGGTTTAGGGTTCAGGGTTCAGGGTTTAGGGTTTAGGGTTTAGTTTAGGGTCTAGGGCACAAGGGGTCAGGGTTTAAGGTTCAGGGTCTGGGCGGCTTGGCGCCGGAGTGTGGGACCAGGATTCAACCCTACACCCTGAGCCCCAAAGCCTAAATGGCGGTTTCCGAAAATAGGGGACTCTAATGTAGTACCCTAAATAATAGGATCCCTATTATAAGGGCCCCAAAATACAGTACCCTAATTTTCTGAAACTCCCAAATCGTACGGGTTTCTGGTATAGGCTGTTTCGCATGACAGCTTACCGCCGCTTCTTCTTGCCAGGGGTGGTCGCCATTGAACTGTCACATGGAGTCGTACCATAAGCCCTACCTGGACCCTATTTTCTCTACTTTCAAACCCTAAACCCTAAACCCTTACCCTAAACCTTAAGCCCTTACCCTAAACCCTAAACCCTACACCGGTAGGTTATTTGGGGTTAGGGAAGCTCGAGGGGGCTTGGAGGGGTGAAAGGCTTCGGCTTTGGATGGACCCTGGGCTCTACACATCCTGCTGTGGAGCCTCACCACTGACTCTGCCCGAGCTCCGAAATTTCGGACTTAGAGGTGGGGCTCTAGGATTTGGAGTGTAGGGATTACGGGTTTGGGGTTTAGGGCTTAAGGGTTTAGGGTTTGGGGTTAGGCTTTAAAGGTTTGTATAGAGTTTGGAGTTTTTGGCTTGGAGGCTGAGGCTTCCAGGGTTTGCAGCTTTATGCTTCAATCCCCGGGTTCGGATCAGTCACAGGCCCTTTGAACCGTGACTACAAGCAACCCTAAAACCCTGAATCTTACTGTAATCTAGGGGCCTAATTACCAATACCATTGTGGGTTTCTTAATTTTAGTATGGTATAATGGGCCCCAAAACCCCATTGTAATTATTGAGGCCCCTATATCAAGCCTGAAGGATAAACTCTGAGCCCTAAACCCACATCCTGAACCCTACCTGCAGCCCCAACCCCTACCAGGGTGTAGCCCTTAAAGCAGCGGCTTAGGGTTTAGGGTTTAGGGGTTTAGGGTTTGGAGTTAGGTTTTCTACCTGGTCCCGGGCTCAAGCCATAGTCTCGGGCTTGGGGGATTTAGGGCTAACTATAGAGGTCTAAATAATTACCAAACGTATTTTGGTGGCTCCTTATGACAAGCATAGTAGTACTATCATAGTAGAAGAATATTGCCCCACAAACCCACTTTTTCTTGTTAAGGCACCCCTACATTAGGGCCTGAGGATTTATTGCACAGAACCCTAAACCCTATACCCTGAACCCTAAACCCTATGAGCCCTAAGCCCTATACCCTAAACCCTGAGCCCTATAAACCCTAAGGTGATCCTGGCCACTTTGCTCGCCATTTTTGCGCTGGTCTCCAACTTGGCCTTGGAGGGCATGAACACAAGAGCTGAGGACTCTTTAGGGCTTTGGGTTTAGGGGTTTAGGGCTTGGGGTTTAGGGGTTTAGGGGTTT